GTTAATCTCTTTGTCTTTGTCAAGCCTTTCCTTCGGAGTTGATCACCTAGGAACGCATCACGTGGTATCAGAGKCAACTCTGAACCAAAGGCTGAGAAAATTTCTAACCCTAATCCACCATATTTGTGTTGATTTCGTTTCATATTTTGTTTGCATAAAAACTTTTAGATCGTTTGATTACCTTGCTCGTTTTATTTGTGTCGTTTACTCTTGTTGCATATTCGTATTAGCTAGATCTGTGTCATCGTTTAAATTTGATTGGTGTCAAGCTTGCTTGTGTCTCTTGTGTCGTTACCTGTTATTCGCTCTTTGTTAGTTTGTCTCTCTTGTGTCGTGTCGTTGTTGTTTGATCATCTTGTTCGAGTCCTTGCTGTGTCGTAGTCTTTAATTGTTTTAATTGTTCTCTGTTTAGTTTTGTTCGCTTTGTTAGTTTATTTCTCTTGTGTCATTAGTTTAATTGTTTACTTGCTGTTTCGTTTGTTGTATCATTAGTTTAACTGTTTCCTTGCTTCGTTAGTTTGCTGTGTCGTGTCTTTAATTGTGTCCTTGCATCATTGTCTCATTAGTCTTTAATTTGTTTTATTCGTGTTTTAAAAATCTGCAATTTTTCATGTCTTGAATCTTGTCTTTTAAATTTTGCTAGAGCAAGTTACTGCGAGTTCTTGGTAATTTGTTTCAAGTACCATGGAGCTTTCGGCTGAGGCCATGGCAGCTCTCAACACAGCAATGGCTCAACAAATCAAGGAATCAAATGAGGCCATTACAACGCAGCTCTCACAGCAGATTGATCAGCTCAACAACAAGTTTGAAACCCAGATTAGTGATCTGTTGAAAGAGCTTAGCGCGAGTGGAGAAGAGTCTTCACATACTCCCACCCCTTCGGAAGTTATACGCATCACTAAGGGTAAAGGGCACATAGGAGTATCTGCTCGAAGGTCTAGACGCGATACAACACCTCCTGAAGACAGACCTAAAGCTAAGACTAACCAAAGTCAGCTTAGGGGCAGAGAGACTGTGTTTAATCAGAGGAAACGAGATGGTTCCAGAGTTGAAAGGCATCAAGAACGTCAGCACCACAGAGAGGAATATATAGCTGGGCATCGAGTCTTCATGGAAACC